CATTATCAATACAGATCAAGTATTTCTAAATCAGTACCGTTCTGTATTTGAGGGCTGTGAAAGCTGTTGGAAAACCCTCAAGAGTTTTCAAGKATTTCAATGACTATAATATTATAATACTATAATACCTATTACCTTTCAGGGAACTCAGTATACAATCTCAGATTTGATGAACTGTTAAGAGCGCCAGGAGATACTTCCCATAAGCTTCAAGGTTTTGAAAAAAGGCATAAAGTTGAAAGTGGTAAGCTAAGCGCTTTCACAGAGCAAAAGATTGCAAGTCTTTCTTTATTTTTATATAGTCAATATGTTATACGCAGTTCAAAGACGATAATTAGTGACGTGATTAGCGATTGGAGATTTTCATACGTAATAACTGAGATCAGAATGATGTATAAATGTAGATATGATAAATAGCATAYCATGCATATCCGTTCATTATCTAACTCTTGATTAATGTGTCTTCAAAAACGTTTAGTTATGATAATCAATCTATTAGTTCATTTGTAGTATTTTTTTTTTTGCATAAACCCGATAAAACATGACCTATAAAAGTTCATCGCACTATCAAAGTTCTAATGCTTATTACAATTCAAAAACAAATCTTCCTCCGCTGTCGATCGACCACGTGACGCGATCATATCAAGCTTAAGRCATAGGCCGCTCAACTATTGCTTAAGAGGCTAAAAGAACGAATGCGCACGCTTTAAAATGTATATGTATCATCGCATGCGGCTTAGAAAAATGCGGGTTACCTGTGGTACTACGTCAAGATTCCTTGCCTCGCGGGTCTACACACTAATCTGTGACAAGGTATGAAACACTGGTCACGTGATGAACCGATGTGTGCACCAGGTAGATGGGACAGTAATCGGGAAGCGAAGATTCGACGAGTGGACGAACTTTCACCGAAGGTACGGCGAAAAGTAGTAGAATAATCATAGTACACATCATTATTGTAAGTAAAATTGTCGTTTTCGGTTATCGTTGGAGAGATAGGAGCAAAATAAGATTTGTCACGTGACCGGTGTTTCATACCTTGTCACAGATTAAGTCTAGACCCGTGAGGCGAGGGACCATGGCGTATATCACAGGTAATCCGCATTTGCTAAGAAAGCGCGCCGGTAACATATACATTTTAAATAAGCTTGCGCATTCGTTCTTTAAGCCTCTCAAGCAATAGTTGGGCGGCCTATTTCCGTATGAAGTGTCAAACTCGACGAAAAAGAGACCAGATTTCAAGACTTTCTGAAGAAAATGCAATGGTATTAAAGCCAATCCTAAAAACTTACCATCGAATCTAAGAAATAATATATATTACATGTATATATGTGGCATATGTGATCTTTCTGTGTATTCTTCGTGAGAAAATTTGAAAATCTAAGTATGTATTTTCGCCTTTGAAGAGTTGGCGTTGAGGATCAAAAGAGCTTGACGATCCATGTTTTGAACACGGCTCGCTTCAAGAAACTGGGCCTCGTGCATAACTTATTTAGATAATGAAAAAACTACCGCCAAATTCAAATAGCTTATGAAATTTGCGCATTTTGATATGTGATACATCTATCGTTCTGCATGAAAAAAATATTTGTGTAAAAATGGCTTTAAGAGTATTGTATACTGTCGTTTTGATTACTATTATGAAGGCTATTGAGGTTAAAGCTATTGTTGAGGTCCCAGGGTTTCGGAGAGCAAAATCCGATATATTGTATTGCTATTTGCTATATATTGTAAACAAGGGGCCGTTATGCATGAGCATGCGCGCAACCGCTGCGTTATAACGACCATGGGCTCTAGAATACGGGTAGAATAACATTGTAGTCAGCTGCAGAAGCTTGGATTCTGAACATAATTGAAGTTTTTACTTATCTTCCACGTTTTTCCAAACAAAACCAAGTAGATATATTTACAATGCACACGAATATCTTTCAAACATTATATAAATTACTGTGAGTCACGGGCTAGATTTATAACACGAAGCCACTTTGTACCGTTAAAATGTAGTGAATTATTTGTGCACACTTTTAGCAATAATAAATTCCTAAGATGTGAATCGATTGCACTGCAATAGTTTATTTCATAACTTATAATGATACAGCTATAGAACTACACATAGATATTTATGATAACTTGATTCAAACAAGCTCAACTCTTCAGCCAAAAGANAAAGTTGTGTATGTGTTTATTTGTATGTTTTACCTGAATGGCATGTTTAGCACTACTTTTTCTCTTTTGTGAAAGTATGCATGAAGTACACATTTGGGTGCTGCCCCGATAATAAAACTCCAAGACATGGTTCACACAACGAAGGATGTGGAGGTTAGTGTGATTATATAAATTTACATAAGTTTCTCTCTCTCTCTCTTCTCCTTCTTTCTTTCTCTTTTTTGTTTGTTTTTTTTATTTTGTTTTCGTGTTTTTTTTTTGCTAGCCTTTTCTGACTGTCTTTATGTCCGTCTCCGTCTCCTTTATGGAAACTACTAGGAATTGATAGGTGCAAAATGTAGAAAACTAGAGAATAGAAAGAGTTTAGAGTCATTTTAATCCRTCTTTGAGTTACTACTAGTCAGTGTTTATTTGTGTCTAATAGTTATATTACAAATAAAGAAAGCAATCGGTGTAGAGTCTACTAGCGTCTATTTGCGTAGTAGGAACTATTTCACAGTCCGATGAAATTCGCTCTATTAACATTGTCTTTCATTTTTTTACACAACAACAACAAAATATTCGTATATAAATCATGCAGTCAATCCCAGTAACTTTTTTCAGTTGTAAAGACGTAAAGACCACAATTTTAATTTAAAACAAAGTCATTTGAATATTCCATGCTTTTTATTTCTTTTCAAGAATTTTCATCARCATGCAGTTCCAAGACATCTTTACAATGTCAATAATAATATTTAATTTAAAAGTTCAAATTAAAATTCTTCGTGGGAAGTTAAAAAACCGTTTTATGCAAACGGCTTTGTTGTTCGTTGCCGTTATGCGTCTTTACACTGAACAACGTTATTGCGATTTTCTGTTTTCTGCGAACTATCTGGCACTACGTACGTTACATGTAACGGTCATTTGCTGTTTTTGCTCCCGTCAATCAAAATTCCAAAGTAAACGAACGGTTTTCGTGACTCCTCCCACAAAACCGAACCAAATCCGAAGGTCCGCCATACTGTTTGTTCCTTGCGAATGAAATGGTCATTCATTCAAAACCGTATCTACTTTGAAACGTTAAAACATCACTGCAATATATCTTGCTATTCGGAAACTTTTCATATCTATTGATTGAGGGTGAAGTAACTTATCAATTGATCATTTTTTCATTCGTTAATTGTTGTTGTGATTTGTTTCTTTGACCTTCAGTAAAACTATGCATGGATGAATCGGTATCTCAATGCAAGARAATAAGCAAAACCSAWTGTAATGATGAAGCTATMTACAAGAAGTGCCATCRCCGATGCAACCCTCAGTGCAGACGTACGTACTATCCCATTCGTGTTTTGCTTTGTAAGACAACAATTTATTGATTAAGATAAAAGTCTTATTAAAGAAAAATGCCTTTGAGAGCCGCCTCGGCATGTCATATYTCAGGCTTTTTATATTTATGACAATAGAATTTTAAGTGGGTTATTGTAATAAAATTGGGTTATTATAATGTATGCTCTATTCAATTGACCTA